GCCTCAAGAAAGAGAAGACAGCGCTATACCTAGAAGCTTAATTGACCTTTTTCATAATGACGTCAAATGCGGAAAGTCTGATGTTATATGAAGTTTCATTGGTTTGATAGTTTTGTGGAGCCAATCAAATTTCGTGTAACATCAGGTTTTCAGTGGTTGAGGTCAGTATAAGAAAGGTCTATTGTGGGCGTACATTCATATATTTGTTTATGCCCAACTTATTTCTTTTGTATGCTATTGTTCCTATCATATGTAAATATGAATGTACGAATATACACCCTTCAATTAAGCCCTCCAGCCACGGCACTGAGGCAAAGTTAATGTAATGAAAACCACCTTCAGGAATACAAATATTTCATGTTCTGAAACTTCACTTTCTGATGCAAGTTTAGAAAGCCAAGCAATTGAAAAATGGTAAAAATTTGTAGATCTTTCACTCAAACTTGCTTTAAAATCACTGGCTACCATAAAAAAGCCAACCAGATTTCTCTCTTTTTTTTGAAAGCCTAGCTGTGAACAGATCATCTATTGCAGTCAACTATCCAGTATTTGCAAAGAAATTTAAAAAGATTTCACTGATGAGGTTATAGTGCTAAATAATCTCAAATCTCAGTGAATTATTTTGTAAATACATTCACAATGCTAGTTGGTTCACTTTTGAACCATATTCCAAGACACCTGAAGCCTGGCTACAATCTGAGAATTTTGAGAATCATCTGAAAAATCCTGGAAACTGTCCATGAGTGAGAATTCACATAAGTTTGGGTCAGGTTTTAGTGGAGAAAGATGGTTTTGAAAAATGTCTTAAAGGATCATTTTATCAAGATTCAGACACTGTGATATTCTGAGATGGACTGACTCAAGCAAGACAAGCTGTATCATAATCTATATCTGATTTACTATAACGAAGATGGTCGCTTTAAACATCAAAATCCCGAACTAAAAAAAACCTCATTTATGAAATCATTTCAACATTTCACAGTAAAGCTTTCGTTATTTCTTTGAAAATTGTTATATAAATCACATTAAAAGCTTGATATTTTCCTAAAAATCACTCACCCCGAGTGTTAATTCATCGGGTAATTCTCGACCGGCAAAAATGATTTTAATTCCAGCAGTTTTGACATTTTTCTTGCGAGCAATTTCGTGTTTTAGTTGAGCGATTGTCCAGGATGGTTGAAAACGAAGGTTAAATGATTTGCCGTTGAAGTTTACGGTCACGTCGTGCGACATATTTCGCTAGAAAAGCTCGTGTATTTCCTTGCAATTGAGAGAAAATAATTCAAAATATTTTGCTTCAAAACGAAAGTTTGGAAACTGAAATGTTTGAAAATTGAAAGTTTAAAACGACGGTTGCTTCCACTTACCAAAACAAACTTCCTCTTTTTCCCTTGAAATTTCACTCCCTAGCAGTTTTCTGATCTCTTGGCACACTGGAATGTTCCGCGTTTTCTATGTTGGCAATCAATATAATTCCAGAGATTAGGTTAGGATTAGGGTTAAATTTAGGATTAGGTTTAACCCTATTTAACAATAAACATAGGACCTAATCTTAACCCAAATCGTAACATAATCTCAAATAACAATATTATTGTCTGACGGATAGTTTTTTTAACTCATTAACTGCCAAAACAAACTTCCTCTTTTTTCCTTGAAATTTCACTCCCTTGCAGTTTTCTGATCTCTTGGAACACTGGAATGTTTAGCGTTTTCGAAGTTGACAATATATGCGCAGAACGGACTTTACCTCATCTTTAAGATTAGGTTAGGATTAGGGTTAAAATTAGGAATGAGTCTCACCCTATTAAACTATAAACCTAAAACATAATCTTAACCCAATTCCTAAGATAATCCCAAAGATTAAATTCGTGTATTTAGGATTTAGTGAACATGGAGTTTTATATTAAAAACTATCGCAGCATCGTCAGCACTTTTGAAAGGTAAATTCGCATTTTAATAGAACAAGTTAAAGCTTTTAGAGTCGACTTAAATTACTGCAAAATAACATTTCTCTAAAATCTACTGAAAATATCAGAAAAAGGTTTCATTTGGCTCCAGCTCTCTCCGTCAGCTCGTAACATTTTCAAATTCATTTTTGGAAACACCGCATCAAATTCCAGGAATTCCTGAGTCCTGACAGGAGAGCAGCGTTCTCACTTTTAAGGAAATTTTTGTCTTATTTCACCAAGAGGAAATTTTGATCTTATTTCACCTTTTTAAGGAATTGTTTGAGGGTTTTTAAGGAATTGTTTGAGTTTTAACTAATATAAAACCAAAACAATTTTCCCGCCTTTTTAGTAAACTACACAAACTACACTAGGTCCCAGGCTTCATATCTGGGAACCCGGAGATTTAAGGAAATTTTACTCAATCTGAGGAATTTTTGTCCTTAGTCTAAGGATTTCTAAACAATAGGATGTGAGAGCCCTGCAGGAGAGGACGCGTCTTATGCAAATACTTTATAAGGAAAAGATATTTGTCTTCATAAACTGATCATTTTGGAGAAGATTTCGAGAAAATACAAACACCGACTTCTCCAAGAACGAACACTGTATCTATATTCAGTCTATACAGCGAGGTTTATACTACAGAGCGACAAACAACACAGAACTTGCTTTATTATTACGACACAAGAACGACGTGAAATATGGCTTCATATATACAAGGTTACGATGAAGAAAGGTTTGTGGACAAAATAAATCAAAATTTTCATTGTCAGATTTGCTTCAACGTCTTGAAAGAGCCGGTTATGTGTTCGAGAAACCAGCATTCTTTTTGCCGTTGTTGTATTACGAAACATCTGGAAAATTCTCAAACATGCCCAACGTGTGCTGATAAACTGACCGTAGAGACTTTGGCCGAACCTTCACGAATGGTAAAAGATTTTTTAAATGAATCAAAAATTCGTTGCGTTTACATCGACAGAGGTTGTCAAGAAGTTGTAGAAGTGCAGCATCTTGACCGCCATGAAGATACATGTGGATATACACCAGCCGTTTGTACAAACCAAGGCTGTGGTTTAATTGTCAACAAGCGTGATCTTATTCACCATGAAAGTGAAGTCTGTGAATTCCGAAAGTTGAAGTGTCACTCCTGCGGAGAAATAACGAAAACCTTGGCAGATATGGACGAAAGAATGGCGAATATGGAAAAGAACATAGGGAAGAATAGTATAACAATTGAAACTAAAATAACAAATTTAGAGCGAAATGTTGCACGGAATATCGAGAAAAACACGGCAGATATAAAAGCAGATATGGAAGGAAAACACGAAGCGGTTAACAACAAAGTCGATGGATTGAAAACAGCTTTGGTCAGAGCTTTTGATGAAATGAAGGACGTTTTTATCACGATGGAGGGCAAGAAAGAAGAAAACACAAGAAAAGTAGGAAATAGACCAAGTGGTGATAAGGAAAATATAATTGTTGCTGGTGGAGGTTTTTTGAATGAGTCTGTAGAGATGTTTAACTGGCGTCAAAGAACATGGTCGCCATTACAATCAATGCCAAAGGATCGTTGGGGAGCGACTTCATTTATTTATAACAATGATATGACTATAGCTGGGGGTTTCTGTGGTTTGTCTGGCATTGTTGATGATATGATTAGAATGAATATTGACCCAAACCCTGATCTCTCAACACACTGGAGTGACTGTCCTGTTAAACTACCTGATAAGTTGAAATACCACAGCAGTGTGCTGTATAATGATCAGTTGATAGTCTCTGGAGGTGATAATGAAAATGTTTCATCTGACCTGATCAGAGCAGTCCAGCTTGTTCCTCCCTATACTGTGAAGACCTTATCAAGAATGCCAGAACCAAGACAAGATCACAGCATGGAAATATTTGATGATAAATTGTTCATAGTTGGTGGAAGAACAACTGGTAGACACAAAGACAACCTCAGCAGTGTTGTACTGTACGATATAAAGAAGAATGAGCTGAAACAGTTGTCACCACTGCCGTATGAAGTGAATCACATGGCAACTGTGAGATGGGGAAACAACATTGTTGTTATTGGTGGCGTTGACAAACATGGCAAGACATTAGATACAGTTATCATTTACAATGTCAAGACAGAACAAAGTCACATGCTGCCATCAATGAGATGTGAGAGGTATGGATGTACTGCAGTTGTTATTGAAAACAACATTGTAGTCCTGGGAGGGCGTGGTGAAGATGGATACCTGAAATCAGTTGAATGTTTCAACTTTGAAAGGTATTCTTGGGAAGAACTTCCAGAAATGTCTAAAGCAAGATGCTCGCACACTGCTGTTGTTGTGTGAACAATATGTAAGGTATTAAGTGAAAACTCCTATCATATTATGAACATTTGAAATGAACTATAAGATTTTCACAAAGTAATAGAAATAGATTGTAGCATTCTAAGTTGATTGTCAGACATATACTGATTTGTATTTTTGTGATTAAATTTAAATTGAGTCAGTTCTTAGAACAATAATAAATCTTTGAAATAGATATTTTCATTGAGGAAGGTTTAAAATGAAACACCAAATAAAACATTTATAATAAGCTTTTCTGTTTCTCCCACCTGGGTCCCCCCCCCCTCCAAGCTAGGTTTTTTCACCCTCCTCCCACTTAGGTTTTTTCAGCCACAACCTCACCCATCCCACCTGCATTCTTCTGCCCCAGCCCCCCTACCACATAGGTTTTTCAGCCACAACCCAATGCCTCCCCACCTGGGTTCTTCTGCCATGGTCCCCCAGACCAAGAATCCTAACTGAGCCTCTGCCTCAAGAAATAGCTCAGTTACCTATTTTAAATATCAGCCTGTCTGTAAATGATGTCTGTGTCTGTCAGACTGCCACAAACCAAGTCATATTTTAAAATTTAACAATTAACAAGATTTGGAGAGATAGTTTTACTCTTTATTAAAACAAAACCCTGATTAACTAATATAAATTGGTTTGTCAACTAAAATAAAATTCTTGTTTCAAGTTTGCTCACAGATTGTTTTGTAATTTCACGTTTTTTATGGTATCCTTGAAGGCTTTTAGTACAAGATTTACATTATCTTTTGTACTGTTCAACCCCATCAGACCAACACGCCATATCTGAAAAATTTCACGACAAAAAGTAAGGTTTTTCACAGGGAAAAAATTTACGATTATGAAGGGAATATCTGCGAATATGGAGAAGAAAATTGTGAATATGGATACCTTTCCAGCAGATCTTCCAAGACCACCTGAAATATCCATTTTATATCTGAAAAAGAAATTGATTATTCAATTTTAACACTTTCCTCTTTACTGGACCTCTAATAATCACCCCCCTGTAAGTATTAAAAATGGGGTTGTTAGCAGGGGGGGACTCTTTCCCAAGATTCATCACTCAGCAAGTACCGTTAATGGAATTTCCACCCCCCTGCCCATATTAAAAATGACGCTAGTAGCAGGGGGGTGATTGCCTCCATTTACAGTACTTGCTGAGTGGATGAACCACTTATGCAAAAAACTATGGAGTTGTTCTTGTGATAGGTATTCTGTGCCTACACTTTCTTTTATTTTTATTGTATTTTTATGTTTACTTGAAAGCACGACATGAAATTACCATTTAGACCTAACCCGGGGGGTGACGGGAGTCAATGACCAAATTCATTACTCATTCTGTTTCGAGAAATGCATTATAGTTTAAAATTAAGTTTAGCCGAATTCATATTAGAGGCGGGAAACTTGTCTTACAAGGTCAGGAAAACAGGAAACTCGTTTTACAGGGGAAACTCCTCTTGGAAACTTATCTTAGACGGGAAACTCGTCTGATGTGAATCAGGCCACAGACGGGTTTCTCGTCAGAATTTTCCCGCCTAACTTTCCCGTCTAAACAAACGGTTAATTTGAACGGGAATCCTTCTGGACGAAACTCGTCTTAAATTCGCATTTAGACGGATAAATCAGACGAGTTTCTGAAATATCAACACGGTCAAGGACGGAACAAGGGTAAAGCCCGCCGCACAAGAGAGCTATCAGCTGAGCTAACGACCTCGCGAGGCAGTTAACTCAGCCTGAAAACTATCCGCACACGATAGAAACTTGCCTCTCGAGGCGAATTCCTCACGAAAAACTATCCGCACACGAGAGTAACTTGCTGAGCTAACAGCCTCGCGAGGTCTTTACCTCAGCTACCAGCTCTCGTGTGAGGCGTGCTTAACTGAGAAAATAAACAAAATTATTATCGTAATAATCACGATACCCTTTTTAGCATTACCCGACCCATCACACGTGTAAATTTTATATCCATTCCAAGTCATATTAAGACGGGTTTTTACCATCAACTTTCCTGTCTAAGATGAATTTCCCGTGCCTAATATGAATTTGGTTGTTAATGTGAGAGAGATGATACCTTCGGCTTCTCCGCTTCCTTGAATATACAATCCATTGTTATATGGTTTGTTGTTGTTTGAATAAGAACGTGATTTTCGTCAAATCTTCGCAGCAAATGGTGTGATGACAGAACTCTCTGGTGTGCAAATTATGTCGACATCATTGTGTGTACGAGAACTCTGTATAATGATAAATTCACGTTAATTTAATTGTTTTGTAAGATTATAAGAATATTATCGATTCGCTGTGTTGCTACTAGGTTACATCTGGTCTTACCTTGGTGTTCCGAAATCACCACTAGCCTGACTGTCACATTCACGGATTAAATTTCTACCATTTGAGCTGCAAAGCTGAGCAAGTTTAAAACATTCAACCGCAATATCTAGAAAAATAAATCCAGAAAAATACGATGAGGAATAACGAAGTGATACTTGAGAATTCTATGAACAAAGATATATATCACAATATGTATTCCAGTACCTGCAAAGACTAGGAATATAACAACGATCTTAACAACTCCAAACATCTTTGATCTGCTAAAATTTAATCTTCTAGATTGAAATGGCTTTTCATCAATATAATGACCGCACTTATACAGGATGTTTAAAAAAACGCAAAACTTAATATTTATGAATATTTTGATACGCTATACGATCTTTTGTGATCAAAACGAAAGTGAATTTCATGAACACTTTGAAGTTGCGTTTTTCTTATTCACCACAGCTGTAGATCAATCCACAAGATATCCTGAACCATTTGTGTGTTGATGAAGATTCATTTAGATTGGAATACTATTGCACCGCGAAAATATTCAACTTGACTTAGACAGAGTAAAATACTAAAGTAGGTCACATCTGGGTGCATTGCAAGCTAATGGGTTAACAAGAGACACTCACAGATGGTTTTCTTAACTTATTAACTGACAGTATTCTTCCACTGATGAGTAAAATCATCTGACACGATTAGGAAAAATCTAGGTTCATAATGCTGGACCATGCAGTTTGACCCATTCACTTGGCATACATAGCTCAGTATGTTATACTCCAGTTCCAGTTCACTCTCTCAGCTTGCGATATTTTTTAATTTATCTGTGGAAACACCGCAGCAAATTCCAAGAATTCCTGACAGCAAATGATGCATTTTATGCCAACACTTTATAAGGAAGAGATATTTGTCTTCATAAACTGATCATTTTGGAGAAGATTTTGAGAAAATATTAACACAGATATCCTCAAAAACGAACACTGTATGTATATTCAGTCTATACAGCGAGGTTTATACTACAGAGCGACAAACAACACAGAACTTGCTTTATTATTACGACACAAGAACGACGTGAAATATGGCTTCATATATACAAGGCTACGATGAAGAACGCTTCGAGACCAAAGTCAGTCAAAATTTCCTTTGTCAGATTTGCTTCAATGTCTTGAAAGAGCCTGTCCTGTGTCCGACAAACCAACATTGTTTTTGCCGTTGTTGTATTACGAAACATCTGGAAAATTCTCTAACATGTCCAACGTGTGCTGATGAACTGACCGTAGAGACTTTGACCGAACCAAATAGAATGGTAAAAGATGTGATAAATGAGTTAAAAATTCGTTGCAATTACATCGACAGAGGTTGTCAAGAAGTTGTAGAATTACAGCATCTTCACCGCCATGAAGATACATGTGGATATACACCAGCCGTTTGTACAAACCAAGGCTGTGGTTTAATTGTCAACAAGCGTGATCTTATTCACCATGAAAGTGAAGTCTGTGAATTCCGAAAGTTGAAGTGTCACTCGTGCGGAGAAATGACGAAAACTTTGGCAGATATCGAGGAAAGAATGGCGAATATCGAGAATAATAATAAAACAATTGAAACTAATATTACAAATTTAGAAAAAATATGGCGAAAATACCACAGTCGCAGATTTAAAAGCAGATATGGAAGAAAAACACGAAGCGGTTAACAACAAAGTCGATGGATTGAAAACAGCTTTGGTCAGAGCTTTTGATGAAATGAAGGACGTTCTTATCACGATGGAGGGCAAGATAGAAGAAAACACAAGAAAAGTAATAAATAGACCAAGTGGTGATAAGGAAAATATAATTGTTGCTGGAGGTTTATTCAATGAGTCTGTAAAGATGTTTAACTGGCGTCAAAGAACATGGTCGCCATTACAATCAATGCCAAAGTATCGTTATGGAGCGACTTCATTTATTTATAACAATCATATGACTATAGCTGGGGGTTGCTGTGGTGGGTCTGGCAATGTTGATGATATGATTAGAATAAATATTGACCCAAACCCTGATCTCTCAACACACTGGAGTGACTGTCCTGTTAAACTACCTGATAAATTAATTTCCACAGCAGTGTGCTGTATAATGATCAGTTGATAGTCTCTGGAGGTGATAATGGAAATGGTTCATCTGACTTGATCAGAGCAGTCCAGCTTGTTCTTCCCTATACTGTGAAGACCTTATCAAGAATGCTAGGACCAAGACAACGTCACAGCATGGAAATATTTGATGATAATTTGTTGATAGTTGGTGGAAGTACAACTGGCTATCACAAAGACAACCTCAGCAGTGTCGTACTGTACGATATAAAGAAGAATGAGCTGAAACAGTTGTCACCACTGCCGTATGAAGTGAGTGATACGGCAACTGTGAGATGGGGAGACAACATTGTTGTTATTGGTGGTGCTGACAAACATCGCAAGCCATTAGATAAAGTTATCATTTACAATGTCAAGACAGAACAAAGTCACATGCTGCCATCAATGAGATGTAAGAGGAAGGGATGTACTGCAGTTGTTATTGAAAACAACATTGTAGTCCTGGGAGGAACTGGTGGGCAAGGAGACCTAAAATCAGTTGAAGGTTTCAACTTTGAAAGGTATTCTTGGGAAGAACTTCCAGAAATGTCTAAAGCAAGATGGCAGCACACTGCTGTTGTTGTGTGAACAATATGTAAGGTATTAAGTGAAAACTCGTGACATATTATGAACAATTGAAATGAACTATAAGATTTTCACAAAGTTATAGAAATAGATTGTAGCATTCTAAGTTGATTGTCAGACATATACTGATTTGTGTTTTTGTGACTGAATTTAAATTGAGTCAGTTCTTAGAATTATATATTAAAGAGCAATAACAAATCTTTAAAATAGATATTTTCACTGAGGAAGGTTTAAAATGAATCACCAAATAAAACATTTGAAATAAGCTTTCTGCACCCCTCCCACCTAGGTCTTTCAGCCACAACCCACCCCTCCCCACCTGGGTTCTTCTGCCCAGGTTCCCCAGACCACAGAGCATACAGAGGTTTGACTTGGCATTAATTATGCGTTCCTAGCGGCCATGTTGTTAGCCAGTGCGCTAAAGAGAGGCCCTATCCCCCCCGAACATTATAAATAGCCATCGCTATATAAATAAACAGATCGTTCCCACTTGTATACTCTTCTATACTCTTCTAAAGGATAAGAACTAACAAAATCTGGTTTTGAGAAAAAAATTGAGCAACGTTTTTGTCAAAAATACGATTTTCCAGATAGTTCTGTCTCGGCTGTTTATATTCCATTATGTGTTCAAGCCGCTATATGCATGATTTCCCGGGGGGAGAAGGCCTCTCTTGAGCGCACTGGCTAAGCGAGGGGTACGCAAAATTAACGGCAGTGAAACCTCTGTATGCTCTGTGCCCAGACCAAGAATCCTAACTGAACCTCTGCCTGAAGAAATAGCTCAGTTACCTATTTTAAATATCAGCCTGTCTGTAAATGATGTCTGTGTCTGTCAGACTGCCACAGACCAAGTCATATTTTAAAATTTAACAATTAACAAGATTTGGGGAGATAGTTTTACTCTTTATTAAAACAGAACCCCGATTAACTAATATAAATTGGTTTGTCAACTAAAATAAAATTCTTGTTTCAAGTTTGCTCACAGTTTGTTTTGTAATTTCACGTTTTCCATCGCGTCCTTGAAGGCTTTTAATACAAGATTTACATTATCTTTTGTACTGTTCAACCCAATCAGACCAACACGCCATATTTGAAAAATTTCATGACAAAAAGTAAGGTTTTTCACAGGGAAAAAATTTACGATTATGGAGCGAATATCTGCGAATATGGAGAAGAAAATTGTGAATATGGATACCTTTCCAGCAGATCTTCCAAGACCACCTGAAATATCCATTTTATATCTGAAAAAGAAATTGATTATTCAATTTTAACACTCTCCCTCTTTACTGGACTTCGATGAATCACCCCCCTGCAAGTATTCAAAATGGGGTTGTTGGCAGGGGGTAGTCCTTCCCAAAATTCATCACTCAGCAAGTACCGTTAATAAAACGAACTACCCCCCTACCCATATTTAAAATAGCGCAGTTGGCAGGGGGGTGATTCCCTTCACTTACGGGTACTTGCTGAGTGACGGAACCACTTATGCAAATAACTATGGAGTTGTTCTTCTGATAGATATTCTGTGCCTACACTTTCTTTTATTTTTCTTGTATTTTTATCTTTACTTGAAAGCACGACATGAAATTACCATTTAGACCTAACCCGGGGGTGACGGGAGTCAATGACCAAATTCATTACTCCTTCTGTTTCGAGAAATGCATTATAGTTTAAAATTTAGTTTAGCCGAATTCATATTAGAGGCGGGAAACTCGTCTTACAAGGTCAAGGAAAACAGGAAACTCGTCTTACAGGGGAAACTCCTCTTGGAAACTCATCTTAGACGGGAAACTCGTCTGATGTGAATCAGGCCACAGACGGGTTTCTCGTCAGAATTTTCCCGCCTAACTTTCCCGCGTCTAAACAAACGGTTAATTTGAACGGGAATCCCTTCTGGACGAGAAACTTGTCTTAAATTCGCATTTAGACGGATAAATCAGACGAGTTTCTGAAATATCAACACGGTCAAGGACGGAACAAGGGTAAAGCCCGCCGCACAAGAGAGCTATCAGCTGAACTAACGACCTCGCGAGGCAGTTAACTCAGCCTGAAAACTATCCGCACACGATAGAAACTTGCCTCTCGAGGCGAATTCCTCACGAAAAACTATCCGCACACGAGAGTAACTTGCTGAGCTAACAGCCTCGCGAGGTCTTTACCTCAGCTACCAGCTCTCGTGTGAGGCGCGCTTAACTGAGAAAATAAACAAAATTATTATCGTAATAATCACGATACCCTTTTTAGCATTACCCGACCCATCACACGTGTAAATTTTATATCCGTTCCAAGTCATATTAAAACGGGTTTTTACAATCAACTTTCCTGTCTAAGATGAATTTCCCGTGCCTAATATGAATTTGGTTATTAATGTGAGAGAGATGATACCTTCGGCTTCTCCGCTTCCTTGAATATACAATCCATTGTTATATGGTTTGTTGTTGTTTGAATAAGAACGTGATTTTCGTCAGATCTTCGCAGCAAATGGTGTCATGACAGAACTCCCTGGTTTGCAAATTATGTCGACACCATTGTGTGTACGAGAGCCTCTGTATAATGATAAATTCACGTTAATTTAATTGTTTTGTAAGATTAAAAGTATATTATCGATTCGCTGTGTTGCTACAAGGTTACATCTGGTCTTACCTTGGTGTTCCGAAATCACCACAACCCTGACTGTCACATTCACGGATTGAATTTCTACCATTTGAGCTGCAAAGCTGATCAAGTTTGAAACATTGAACCGCATTATCTAGAAAAATAAATCCAGAAAAATACGATGAAGAATAACAAAGTGATACTTGAGAATTCTATGAACAAAGATATATATCACAATATGTATTCCAGTACCTGCAAAGACTAGGAATATAACAACGATCTTAACAACTCCAAATATCTTTGATCTGCTAAAATTTAATCTTCTAGCTTGAAATGGCTTAAAATCATCTGACATTAGACAGAATAAAATACTAAAGTAGGTCACTAGGTGACTCGTGGGTTTGGAAGTTTTGAGGAGAGACTTAACTGTGAAAACGCATTTTGTTGAACTGAGGACCATTCCATCGGCTAGCGTTAGGGCGTGTAATGTCTGGCACCTCTGGCCGGATAGTAGGGCCAGTAACATTATCAGCTTGTAAGAACAGTTTTTAAGGCTGATGTCTGGCAGTGGAATGGTAGATAGATATGATAACACAAGGTTGACATCCCATATCCCATTGTACTTGGGAAGGGATGGTCGTTTAGTATATACACCTTTAACCAAACGGCAAACCAGGAGATGAGATCCAAATGATGTTCCACCAGGTAACGTAATAACCGAAGCTAAGGCGGAGCGAGCAGTGTTTATTGCACTATAACCCAAGCCACCATCAAATAGTTGTCGTAGAAACTCTAGACCCTCTGCTAAAGGTGGTGAAATTGGATCAATCCCTCGTTGATGACAAAATTTGCTCCATTTCCTGAGGTAAGAGCCATACTGTCTTCGGGTCCCAACCTTCCATGACGACATGATAAGCTCACAAGTTTCTTGTGAAATGCCTTGGTTAGTGATGACCGCCCTGACAAGTGGCATATCATTAGTGTCAGAGTTTGGTGAAGAGGATGTACTGTCTCTGGCTGGCTTGGTAATGTTAAGGTTAATGGGTCCTTTGGTAGTAAAACCGGATGTTGTATCAGCATTCTCAACAACTGAGGGTACCAGGTCTGTGTGGGCCAATTTGGAACTATGAGAAGCCCTGTTGCCTGGTCCTCTCTGATTTTGCAAAGGGTTTGTTGAACTATGCTAAAGGGCGGAAAGGCATAGAAAATAACATTAGACCAATCAAAGTGAAATGCATTTACAGCATGTGCCTCAGGGTCTGGGTGGTAGGAAATATAGGGCTTTAATTGATAATTGATGCGTGATGCAAACAGGTCAATTTGGGGTGTGACACCTAGCTTAGCGACACTCTGGGTAAACAACTCTTTAGAGAGCATCCACTCTGTGTGGTGGTTATTTTGCCTTGAGGCCTTGTCTGCTTCTATGTTATCTATGCCTGGAATGTGAGCAATGCTCAGCCAAACAGAATGTTGGATGCACCAGCACCATATTTCAAATGTAATCTGGTTGCAAGCATGGGAGTGGGATGTGCCCATATTTTTAATGCACGAGACTGCAGTTGTATTATCTACCATTAGTTGAACATGTTTCCCTGAAACATTCATTTGGAACGATTGTAAAGTAAGATACACAGCTTTAAGCTCAAGGTAATTAATGTGTTCAGATGCTTCAGCAGGTAGCCAGGAGCCACTACAGGAGGTCTCATTAAGTACTCCCCCCCAGCCCACCATAGATGCATCTGTGTGAATGACACAATCTGGTTTCCCATGACTTATGTTACTGTATGATTGCTGAACATTGGCAATCCACCAGTTCAGCTCATTTATAGCTGGGACAGATAGATGCATCTTCTTGTCAAAATTCCCTTTTGAAGCCTTCAATGACCCAGTTTTATCCCACTCAATGTGTCGGTAATAAAGTGGGCCAAATTGGACCCCTGGGAAGCTTGAAATCAAGAGCCCGATCACTCTAGCCACTTCTCTGATAGGTACACCCTTAATATTAGAGTTTTTAAGACCTAGGCAAGCATTCTGTATCTTACAGGCTTGTTCACTGGTAAGCTTTACAGTCATAGTAATAGAGTTCAACAGGAAACCAAGAAAAACAATTTCCTGGGCTGGGACAAACACTGATTTCTTAGGGTGAGTCACAAACCCTACTGTGTCTAAAATAGATACTGTATCTATGACATTGTGTGTACAATCCTCATAAGTGTCGCCTTGAAGATAAGAGTCGTCTATATAGGCTGATGACTCGTGCCCCTGAGCACGAAGTGTTGCATATACAGGCTTGAGAAGTTTGGTAAATTTACGGGGGCAAACTGCTAGTCCATTTGGAAAACACACAAATTTATAAATTGTATTTTTCCATATGAATTTTAAGAACTTTTGATCAGGCTCTGCAATGGGTACAGTATAGTAAGCATCCTTGATGTCGATGGATGCCATAAAGCACTTGGGCTTCATCATGTTTATAACAGTTTTAATATTATCCATTTTAAAATGATGATATTCTACATCTCTATTAAGCCCCTTTAAATTTAGTATCATCCGGTAAGAACCGTCTTTTTTCTTTCGAACAAAAACATTAGAGAAATATTCGCCTGGTTCATGACAGGAGGTGGTGATAACACCCTTAGATAGCAATTTAGTAATCTCATCATCAATAACAGACTGTTCAAAACCCGATAGCGCGTAAGGTCTAGGACAGTCATTTTGAGTTGGCTGGTTCACAAAGTCTATGGATAAACCACTTACAGTATTAAGTATCTCAGAGTCTGAGGTTAGCTTCACCCACTCGTTATAGTAGTGCTTGAGTTGCCCTCCTCGAAAGGACTGTAATTTCTGTTCCAGATAAACACACAACATGGGACAAAATGTGTCAAACTCAGTTACCTGTTGTTTATAAGTTTGAAGCTTTGCGATGACGTCATTCACTTTTGTGGCCGTTTTTCCCGCTCTTTCTTTCTGTACTGTGGCTGCCTGTTGTTGTTGTAATTTGGGCGTCGGCCTTTCCATAAAAAATGTTTGCCCGTAGAGTATGCGGGTTGCGAATGTTGAGATCTAGCGCCTCTTTTGTCATATTGCGCCTTGTAATGGCGCGAGTGACTGCCGTCCACTGACTGAGCAATTCGATTAGTTGTTTTAATATTAGCTAGGCGTGACGGAAGGTCGTCGCCAAACAAAAGGCTCGTCGGTGGATGTTGCGTCGAGCAGAGTGTAGAATACTCTTGATTTAAACAAGGGCGTAAGTATTCACGTCTGCGGAGTGACAAATCGACGTTTGCGTGCCCCAAAAGTGCCAGGGCATCTGTGGCAGTTTTAATAAGCTCGTCCACCGATAAAGGCGTACTTTTTTGGCGTGTCTCGAGCAAGTTCTCAATACACTTTGTCACAGCTGTGCCAGCTTTAGTGATGGCATGTTGTACATTTGCGAGTCGCAAGTCTTGTTGTTTTTTTGCATGGCTTATTTGTCCCCAGATTTCTGGGTTAACTTTAGGAACAGCCAATTTTTCACAGTTAGGCGGGCGACCGTATTTGTCAAGTTTGTCTTTCAGTTTTGTGTCCGACATCTTCTCGGACCATCGTTTATTTACAATGTCCGCCAGCTGAGTCGGGAGAGGTGAGCCTAACGTCTCATCAGCATTAAACTCGTTCGCAATATCGTTCAAAAGGTCATCTTGAGCCTCTGGCGAGTCGCACTTTGTATCGCCCGTGGCGGGCTGGTCCTTCGAGGCCGATTGTATAAGTTTTTCAGCGTCATTGTCTACGCTAGGGCTAGGAGAGCCTCTGTCTTCGCTCTTAGAGCGTTTACGTTTCTTGGCGTGTCGCCGTTCGTTTCCTGAGGGGGAAGAAGAGCGCGACGAGCTGGAGTCACTTGATGACGACCTACGTCTAGAACGCCTTCCTTTCACAACTGCTTCAAAGTTGTCCATTCTTTTGTCCATACGAGCCATATTCGAGGACACTTGTTGCAAAATCTCAGCCAAATTAGGTAAATTCGCCTCCTTCGGACGTTCGTACTCGAGAAGTTTTTCTGTTTCTTCCTCTGAAGGTTGCTTGTTGTCAAGCACATCGTCCCTGGCATCGACCTCTGAGTCAGAGGATTTTGGCCTTTTTTCGCGGCGATCCGAGTCGTCTACGTCCTTGGAAGTTGGCATAGTCAATAGAGTATACTTACAACACGGTTTTCTCGGCGGGGTCCGCGAAGAAATCGATTATTTTAGTCGCAAGTACAAAAGACGTGCTGATCGTTAGAAAACGGTTTGTGCACTGACGTTAGAAATGGCGCGCGCCATCTCACGTGATTCCGTCATGACGTAACCAATGACGAAATAGAATGATGCATTTTATGCAAACACTTTATTAGGAAGAGATATTTGTCTTCAAAAACTGATCATTTTGCAGACGATTTCGAGAAAATACAAACACAGACTTCTCCAAGAACGAACACTGTATCTATATTCAGTCTATACAGCGAGGTTTATACTACAGAGCGACAAACAACACAGAACTTGCTTTATTATTACGACACAAGAACGACGTGAAATATGGCTTCATATATACAAGGCTACGATGAAGAAAGGTTTGTGAACCAAATCGATCGAAATTTTCATTGCCAGATTTGCTTCAACGTCTTGAAAGAGCCGGTTATGTGTTCGAGAAACCAGCATTCTTTTTGCCGTTGTTGTATTACGAAACATCTGGAAAATTCTGAAACATGTCCAACGTGTGCTGATGAACTGTCCGAAGAGACTTTGGCCGAACCAAACAGAATGGTAAAAGATTTTTTGAATGAATCAAAAATTCGTTGCGTTTACGTCGACAGAGGTTGTCAAGAAGTTGTAGAATTACAGCATCTTGACCGCCATGAAGATACATGTGGATATACACCAGCCGTTTGTACAAACCAAGGCTGTGGTTTAATTGTCAACAAGCGTGATCTTATTCACCATGAAAGTGAAGTCTGTGAATTCCGAAAGTTGAAGTGTCACTCGTGCGGAGAAATGACCAAAACTTTGGCAGATATGGAGGAAAGAATAGCGAATATCGAGAAGAATATCGACAAGAATAATGTAACGATTGAAACTAAAATCACAAATTTAGAGAGAAACGTTGAAAAAAACACGGCAGATATAAAAGCAGATATGGAAGGAAAACACGAAGCGGTTAACAACAAAGTCGATGGATTGAAAACAGCTTTGGTCAGAGCTTTTGATGAAATGAAGAACGTTCTTATCACGATGGAAGGCAAGAAAGTAGAAAACACAAGTAAAGACAGAAATAGACCAAGTGGTGATAAGGAAAATATAATTGTTGCTGGAGGTCTTTGGATTAACTCTGTAGAGATGTTTAACTGGCGTCAAAGAACATGGTCGCCATTACAATCAATGCCAAAGTATCGTTATGGAGCGACTTCATTTATTTATAACAATCATATGACTATAGCTGGGGGTTGCTGTGCTGGGTCTGGCATTGTTGATGATATGATTAGAATGAATATTGACCAAAACTCTGATCTCTCAACACACTGGACTGACTGGAGTCACTGTCCTGTTAAACTACCTGATAAGTTGAGATACCACAGCAGTCTGCTGTATAATGATCAGTTGATAGTCTCTGGAGGTGGTAATGAAAATGGTTCATCTGACTTGATCAGAGCAGTCCAGCTTGTTCCTCCCTATACTGTGAAGACCTTATCAAGAATGCCAGAACCAAGACAATGTCACAGCATGGAAATATTTGATGATAATTTGTTGATAGTTGGTGGAAGAACAACTGTCGAATGCAAAGACAACCTCAGCAGTGTCGTACTGTACGATATAAAGAAGAATGAGCTGAAACAGTTGTCACCACTGCCATATGAAGTGAGTGAGATGGCAACTGTGAGATGGGGAGACAACATTGTTGTTATTGGTGGCGCTGACAAACATGGCAAGAGATTAGATACAGTTATCATTTACAATGTAAAGACAGGACAAATTCACATGCTGCCATCAATGAAATGTAAGAGGAGGGGATGTACTGCAGTTGTTATTGAAAACAACATTGTAGTCCTGGGAGGGTGGGGTGAGGACAAAGACCTGAAGTCAGTTGAAAGTTTCAACTTTGAAAGGTATTCTTGGGAAGAACTTCCAGAAATGTCTGAAGCAAGATGCTGGCCCACTGCTGTTGTTGTGTGAACAATATGTAAGGTATTAAGTGAAAACTCCTAACATATTATGAACAATTGAAATGAACTATAAGATTTTCACAAAGTTATAGAAATAGATTGTAGCATTTTAAGTTGATTGTCAGACATATACTGATTTATATTTTTTGTGATTAAATTTAAACTGAGTCAGTTCTTAGAATTATATATAAAAGAACAATAACAAATCTAGGAAATAGATATTTTCATTGAGGAAGGTTTAATGAAAATGAAATACCAAATAAAACATTTGAAATAAGCTTTTCTGCCACTCCCCCTCCCACCTATGTTTTTTCCACTTTATGATATGATATGCAAAAACCTATAGGGTTGTTATTGTGATAGGTATTGTGTGTCTACACTTTCTTTTATTTTTATTGTATTTTTATCTTTACTTGAGAGCACGACATGAAATTACCATTTAGACCTAACCCGGGGGGTGATATGAGTGAATGACCAAATTCATTAGGATGTGTGCATACATACAATTAAATTAAATTAAATTCAAAGTCAATCATGTGACTACGAATGAACCAATCACATTTAAAAAAACACAGCACCTATATTGCACCAGTATTAACAATTACAATTAAATTGACTTTTGCAAAATACCATGACATTTTCGTGCAAATAAAACCAAATACGGTAGAAATAACTACAAAACCGTGCTCCATTTTACCAATACAACAACTATTATTACAAATAGTGTTTTGGGTTTACGATTAAACCATTCTTATAAAGTTGTAAATGCAAATGCTGTGTTATTCCTGAGTAAGGAAGTTCCTGCGATTTTTCCAAAACTGAACCTTCATCAGCGAACCCCGAAGACTTCAAAGGCGTGAAATAAAATATCTTTGCACTAAAACCTATCAAAAATGAATGAAGTGAATTACTCTAGTGCAATACACGGGTCTACGAGGTTGTTCTCAAGTCATGCAACGATGAACCTTCCATATTTCATTTTAAAATTTATGGCTTTATTGTTGAAAATAATGAAAGCGAAAGAGAGAAATTGTGTACAAGTGAAATAGTCTGATTGTCTTTTAAATTGTCGTGGAAAACTCATTCTGTTTCGCGAAATGCATTATAGTTTAAAATTTAGTTTAGCCAAATTCATATTAGAGGCGGGAAACTCGTCTTACAAGGTCAAGGAAAACGGGAAACTCGTCTTACAGGGGAAACTCCTCTTGGAAACTCATCTTAGACGGGAAACTCGTCTGATGTGAATCAGGCTACAGACGGGTTTCTCGTCAGAATTTTCCCGCCTAACTTTCCCGTCTAAACAAACGGTTAATTTGAACGAGAATCCCTTCTGGACGAGAAACTCGTCTCAAATTCGCATTTAGACAGATAAATCAGACGAGTTTCTGAAATATCAACACGGTCAAGGACGGAACAAGGGTAAAGCCCGCCGCACAAGAGAGCTATCAGCTGAACTAACGACCTCGCGAGGCAGTTAACTCAGCCTGAAAACTATCCGCACACGATAGAAACTTGCCTCTCGAGGCGAATTCCTCACGAAAAACTATCCGCACACGAGAGTAACTTGCTGAGCTAACAGCCTCGCGAGGTCTTTACCTCAGCTACCAGCTCTCGTGTGAGGCGCGCTTAACTGAGAAAATAAACAAAATTATTATCGTAATAATCACGATACCCTTTTTAGCATTACCCGACCCATTACACGTGTAAATTTTTAATCCATTTCAAATCATATTAAGACGGGTTTTTACAATCAACTTTCCTGTCTAAGATGAATTTCCCGTGCCTAATATGAATTTGGTTATTAATGTGAGAGAGATGATACCTTCGGCTTCTCCGCTTCCTTGAATATACAATCCATTGTTATATGGTTTGTTGTTGTTTGAATAAGAACGTGATTTTCGTCAGATCTTCGCAGCAAATGGTGTCATGACAGAACTCCCTGGTTTGCAAATTATGTCGACACCATTGTGTGTACGAGAACCTCTGTATAATGATAAATTCACGTTAATTTAATTGTTTTGTAAGATTATAAGAATATTATCGATTCGCTGTGTTGTTACAAGCTTACATCTGGTCTTACCTTGGTGTTCCGAAATCACCACAACCCTGACTGTCACATTCACGGATTGAATTTCTACCATATGAGCTGCAAAGCTGACCAAGTTTAAAACATTCAACCGCATTATCTAGAAAAATAAATCCGGAAAAATACGATGAAGAATAACGAAGTGATACTTAAGAATTCTATGAACAAAGATATATATCACAATATGTATCCCAGTACCTGCAAAGACTAGGAATATAACAACGATCTTAACAACTCCAAACATCTTTGATCTGCTAAAATTTAATCTTCTAGCTTGAAATGGCTTTTCATCGATATAATGACCGCACTTATACAGGATGTTTAAAAAAACACAACACTTAATATTTATGAATATTTTGATACGCTATACGATCTTTTGTGATCAAAACGAAAGTGAATTTCATGAACACTTTGAAGTTGCGTTTTTCTTATTCACCCCAGCTGTAGATCAATCCACAAGATATCCTGAACCATTTGTGAGTTGATGAAAACTCATTTAGATTGGAATATTATTGCACCGCGAAAATATTCAACTTGACTTAGACAGAGTAAAATACTAAAGTAGGTCACATCTGGGTGCATTGCAAGCTAATGGGTTAACAAGAGACACTGACAGATAGTTTTGTTAACTTATTAACTGACAGTATTCTTCCACTGATGAGTAAAATCATCTGACATTAGACAGAGTAAAATACTAAAGTATAGGTCACATCTGGGTGCATTGCAAGCTAATGGGTTAACAAGAGACACTGACAGATAGTTTTGTTAACTTATTAACTGACAGTATTCTTCCACTGATGAGTAAAATCATCTGACACGATTAGGAAAAATCTAGGTTCATAATGCTGGACCATGCAGTTTGACTTCACATAGAATACATAGCTCAGTGCAAGGCTATTCAGGATTTAGTAAACATGAAATTATTTCCATTACACCAGATAACCTTTCACGGCTCCAGAGTCCAGATTCCAAACCGACGATTCCGTGTTTTCCATAGGATCATTTGTAAACAAATACCAGCCCTTGTGAAAGACGTTTGAAATTTATTTCAGCCAAGAGATTATTGTCTGTTGCTTTAAACATATAACAAGACGCCTGTTCTCGCGTTAACTCCGGCGCACGTGCCAGTCTTCAATATAGAGCTTCTGAACATAAACAATACAGTTCATATTCGCCGCATTTAGATGCCTTGCGAACCAAAATGTTCGATCGCGAAATTCAGAAGCACATCGTACTTTAAAAAGTATAGAAGTTAAATCGTTCAAGAATGTAAATAAACGATATGATACATTCGCTTTGTCTTACACTTTGCCTTTGGAATTCGCGCTTACATAGTTATATTAAATCTTCAATCCTGTGCAAACTACGACGAGTCAAAGCGCCCATACACGACCACATCATCTTGTTAAACGGCGAAATAGCAGCGATATTACTAAAATAGGACCAGAATCTACACGTATTAAATATATTCTTACCCCAATTCAGTCTAAACTTAATCGAAAAGCATGAAAAGAACGGTTTATTTGTTCCTCTTGGAGGAATTGCCGTATCATGCGAGCGAAATCGAATCGCGCATCGGAAAATTAGCCAAAGCTGTGCACCACAACTCTTGGGAGACAAGACTGGGACATAGATAAATCCAATCACATACACGTTTTAAATGCTAGAATGTTTCGCGCCATTACAGACTTGCGACGACGAAAAATAATAAAAATAAAAATAAAAAAACAAAAAAAACAAAACAAAACCGAGGCGAATTTTCAACTCCATCGCTGACGCCGGAGTAATTAGTCGAAAGATTCGAAATAAATTTTAATGCAGACTTTATCCGCATCGATCATAATATACTTAGTCTAAATATTTCATTATTATGATTGATTTTTCTTGGTATAAAGTAATAAAAGTATCATTTTCTCAGAACTCATTTCCATATAATGAAATAAGAAATTCCTACAACATAAACACAACCAATTGCAAGTGAGTATTTCAATAGGAGGTCAATGACCTTTTGTCACAAGACCATACAAGACATGATAATAATATCATATTTTCATAGCAACAAATTCCTGTCAACAACACTCCTTAAATATATTTGTCTTCGTAAATTTATCATTTTTGGGAAGACTTCGAGAAAATACAAACACAGACATCTCCAAGAACGAACACTGTATCTATATTCAGTCTATACAGCGAGGTTTATACTACAGAGCGACAAACAACACAGAACTTGTTTTATTATTACGACACAAGAACAACGTGAAATATGGCTTCATATATACAAGGCTACGATGAAGAAAGGTTTGTGGACAAAATCAATAAAAATTTCCTCTGTCAGATTTGCTTCAACGTCTTGAAAGAGCCGGTTATGTGTTCGAGAAACCAGCATTCTTTTTGCCGTTGTTGTATTACGAAACATCTGGAAAATTCCCAAACATGCCCAACGTGTGCTGATGAACTGACCGTAGAGACTTTGGCCGAACCAAATAGAATGGTAAAAGATTTCTTGAATGAATCGAAAATTCGCTGCGTTTACACCGACAGAGGTTGTCAAGAAGTTGTAGAATTACAGCATCTTGACCGCCATGAAGATACAATGTGGATATACACCAGCCGTTTGTTCAAACCAAGGCTGTGGTTTAATTGTCAACAAGCGTGATCTTATTCACCATGAAAGTGAAGTCTGTGAATTCCGAAAGTTGAAGTGTCACTCGTGCGGAGAAATGACGAAAACTTTGGCAGATATGGAGGAAAGAATCGCGAATATCGAGAAGAATATCGAGAAGTTTAATACAACAGTTGAAATTAAAATAACAAATTTAGACAGAAAAATAGACAAAAACACGGCAGATATAAAAGCAGATATAGAAGGAAAACACGAAGCGGTTAACAACAAAGTCGATGGATTGAAAACAGCTTTGGTCAGAGCTTTTGATGAAATTAAGGACGTTCTTATCACGATGGAGGGCAAGATAGAAGAAAACACAAGAAAAGTAAGAAATAGACCAAGTGGTGATAAGGAAAATATAATCGTTGCTGGAGGTGATTGGACTAACTCTGTAGAGATGTTTAACTGGCGTCAAAGAACATGGTCGCCATTACAATCAATGCCAGAGAATCGTTGGGCAGCAACTTCATTTATTTATAACAATCATATGACTATAGCTGGGGGTGAATGTCGTTGGTCTGGCATTGTTGATGATATGATTAGAATGAATATTGACCCAAACCCTGATCTCTCAACACACTGGAGTGACTGTCCTGTTAAACTACCTGATAAGTTGAAATACCACAGCAGTGTGCTGTATAATGATCAGTTGATAGTCTCTGGAGGTTATAAAGGAAATGGTTCATCTGATTTGATCAGATCACTCCAGCTTGTTCCTCCCTATACTGTGATGACCTTATCAAGAATGCCAGAACGAAGACAAAATCACAGCATGGAAATATTTGATGATCATTTGTTGATGGTTGGTGGAAGTACAACTGGCTATAACAAAGACAACCTCAGCAGTGTTGTACTGTACGATATAAAGAAGAATGAGCTGAAACAGTTGTCACCACTGCCGTATGAAGTGAGTGCTATGGCAACTGTGAGATGGGGAGACAACATTGTTGTTATTGGTGGCATTGACAAACATGGCAAGTTATTAGATAAAGTTATCATTTACAATGTCAAGACAAAACAAAGTCACATGCTGCCATCAATGAGATGTAAGAGGAGGGGATGTACTGCAGTTTTTATTGAAAACAACATTGTAGTCCTGGGAGGGGAGAGTGAGCAAGCACTGCTAACGTCAGTTGAAGGTTTCAACTTTGAAAGGTATTCTTGGGAAGAACTTCCAGAAATGTCTGAAGCAAGATACTTGCACACTGCTGTTGTTGCGTGAACAATATGTAAGGTATTAAGTGAAAACTCTCTAACACATTATGAACAATTAAAATTAACTATAAGATTTTCACAAAGTTATAGAAATAGATTGTAGCATTCTAAGTTGATTGTCAGACACATACTGATTTGTATTTTTGTGATTGAATTTAAATTGAGTCAGTTTTTAGAATTATATATTAAAGAACAATAACAAATCTGTGAAATAAATATTTTCATTGAGGAAGGTTTAAAATGAAACATCAAATAAAAGAATTCAAACAATAGGTAGGTGCATGAGTGAAAAAAATTTGATTAAATATTGACCATGTTGGATCAAAGTTATTAGTTTCTATTAACTGCGGTTTGGATTAAAAAATTCAACTTTTCTAGAAGCATAAATATTTCTGAGAGGAAACGTAAAATGAAAGGGTAAACTTACGATGTTTCAGAGCATGTGATGCAGGGAATATTTTTGATGTTAGATTTCAACATTGATAACAGCATTTGTTTATCTCTACCATGATGTTCCCCGCATTTGAAATAACAATTGCTGCGAAATAACAAGAAGTTTGTGACCTACTTTAGTAATTTACTCTGTCTAATGCCAGATAATTTTACACATCAGTGGAAGAGTACTGTCAGTTAATGAGTTGACAAAACTATCTGTCAGTGTCTCTTGTTAACCCATTAGCTAGGAATGCACCCAGATGTGACCTACTTTAGTATTTTACTCTGTCTAATGTCAAATGATTTTACTCATCAGTGGAAGAGTACTGTCAGTTAATAAGTTAACAAAATTATCTGTCAGTGTCTCTTGTTAACCCATTAGCTTGCAATGCACCCAGATGTGGCCCACTATTGTATTTTAGGTCTGATAGGTGAATAACTTACAGCTGTTGTTCCCTGACAGTTTTATCGGATTCACATGGTCCCTGCATGCGGCCTTTGATCAATACATCGTCCCAACCATTTGGACCCTTGCAAGAAACCATAAATATGTTTAAACAAGCTGTTTGTTGACATTCAAAAGCTTTCACAGCAAGCTTGTAAACAAGTTGTAACAATGTCGACATTTTACAAAGTTGCATATAAATCTGCTGCAGTTTTTTACAAGTTGTTTATAAGGAAACAGTAAATACCTGTGATAGAACAAAGCTTCCTTCCTTGCAATTTGAACATCGACATCGCAATTTTCCTCGTGTTAGTTTCTTGCAAGTTTTACAATAAACAAAGAAGAAACTTTGCTTGCCTGAGATGAGAGAGTATGAAAAATATGGATTATTAAAGAAACCCTAGTGTTAGAAAGAGCAGGGTTTTATATTGATGGAGTATAATATAAGATTAGGAGGGTAAGATATATTAAAAGACATGTAGGGAAGGGTCAAGGGTGTATGGAAGGGGGACTATACAGGAGGTTAAATTGATAGAGGGTCTATTAGAGAAGAAGTATAAAGGGAAGGCTATATAAGGGAGGGAATATGGGGGAGGGGTTATTTTAGAGAGTTATTCTAGAGGTGTATTATAGTCATGAGGGACACTCTACTAGGGAGGGGTGTAAAAAGGGGGTTATTTTGGAGTATTATTTAGAGACTGGAGTATTAGAGAAGTATATTAGAGAAGGGTATACTTACAGGGTGGGGTTAAAGAGCGGGTTATTTTAAGAGTATTTAGAGACTAGAATATTAGAGAAGTATACATTAGAGAGAGGTATACTTATAGGGA